TAAATATTGCAAGGGACATACTAATGCCAAAAATGACTCATTGTTTATATACAATTCAAATTTAACTAGGTGTCTTGGTTCTGTTGTTTATTTTTTGTTTTTGCTAAATTTGGTAACCTTAGAACTAACTAAAAGCTATATTAACTAACTCTATAATAACAGGCATCCATGTCTTGAAAATCTTGATTGTGAGGGATTACATTTAATTTGTAGAATATCTTAATGAATGTTTATATATATAAACATTTTAAATATAACTATACATAGTAAAATATAAATATATTGTTAAAAAAGGAGTTCATTGAAATGGGCAAAAACAGGTATTTCTTTTTCTCATCCTATGGTACTACAAAATTTTCTCCCTGAACTTTCCAACTCATATACTTTGAAGAAAATATTTTGTGATATTACTTCTAACATTTTTCAGTTGTGTTTAAGATGTTAACTAAATAGTTCAAAATATTTAAAAAATGTTGCCAGCAAATGAGAGCACATTAGGGGAAATTTTCTCATCAACTACGTGGAACATAAGAAATATGTTCTCCCTATGGAGACACTGTATAAATGTTTATTGAAAATAGATTTCTAGATTACTTTTAAAAAACTCTTTACTTTGATCCTCAAAATATAGTTTTCTCACTCTCAAAGTGTTTTTACAATTACAAATAATCATTATGTTGATCACACTATTGTATTTCAAATTAAAATGCAAAATCAAAATTGTATTCACTTATAAAGAAATATCAAACATGAAATTTTGGAATATATAAACAAAATGTCAGGAGAGAATAGTTTGTGCTTTAAAAATAAAACTGATAGTTGTGCTATTATTTGTTAAATTGTTCTACTCCATTTAATGATTCAGCCATTTTAATTAATTTAACTGTATCTTCTTATTAAAATGACTTAGACCATAACATATTTCAAATGTATGCATTATTTATGAACTCAAAATGTACAGGATGAATAGACTTAATTTGGGAACAGTTTATCAAGTGTAAGAAACATTTAGTGCAAAGTTAAATTTAATTAAATATGAAACAAAGCCTTAAATTAACACTAATGTTTGTTCTTGGGTCTCATCTACTCACATTTTTGTCACAAATAGAAAACCTAAGTTATACTTATTGTTCTTTCTAAAAAAAAATTATTCTCAGTTTTAAGTTATACCCCTTAAGGTATCTCTGTTTTCCTTTTTGTTAAACACCTACTATAAATTTCAAATAATAATATACAAAAATATATTAACATAACTAACACTGAAAATCATATAGAATATGAAGAAGTGATTTTAATTTTTAAAGGTAATACAGATTTTAATATTTAAAATTCTTTCAAGATAATAGCTTTCAAAAAAATCCAGCTAAAAAATGCTATATTTTGCCAAAAACCCCAAACAAAAGGCATGCTTGTACATCTGTATTTGGCTTTATTTTATATCAATTAAAAATCAATTTACTACATAGTTTTTCTATTTACTGGAATAGATGTTTCAGCTTGAGTCGAATGCATATCGATTGTGGCTTAATGGCTGGCAGTATTTTACCAGCATAACGCTTCTGCCAACTCTGTGGATAAAATGAGCACCAAGATGGAAAGCAAGAGGAGTGAATAAGAAGGCAAAGGCATTTTAAGCACATTTAAAATAGAAACTGTATTGTGGCTTAAGTTTAAGAGTTTTACCTTAGGGCAATTACACACATTATTTTTCTCATTTCTATAATAAAATTAGTAGCAAATAATCAATTAAGATTTTTTATTGG